ACAACCATTGAGCATACTAAAAACCTATCAAGCCTCACCTTGACTGAGCTTGCAGGTGCCTTATTAGCCTTTGAACAAAGGTTGGCATCCATGAATGAAAAGCTAGTAGAAGGAGCATTTGCAGCCAAGCATAGACAGCAATATCCCAAGAAAAGTGTTGATAGAAGGCATGTTGATTCAAGGAAAAGGAGAGAAGGAAGTAGCAGCAAACAGGGGATGAGTAAAGATCGAGACTCACATCCTCAACGTGGCATTTGTGGCAAAACAAATCACCTGGAGAAGTATTGTTGGAAAACATATAAGTACAAACTGTGCAATAAGCTTGGACATCCTGAAAAGTATTGTCATGATAATCGCCAAAATAATTATTCAACTCATCATCAGCACAGACATCAGAATCAGCAAGCTACTCTGGCTTCTGAGAAGAAGGCTAAAGATCATTTATTTTTGGCATTTCACATGAAAAATGAGAAGGAGGAAGACTCTTAGTTCATTGATAGTGCCTGCACCAATCATATGACCAGGAAAGAAGAGATTTTCTGCAACCTGAATTCAGGCTGTAAAGCATCAATCAAGATGGGAAATGGTGAAATGGTATCTGCAAAAGGAATTGGAACCATTGCAGCCCAAACAAAGAAGGGACTAAGGTACATTGATAATGTGTTAGTTGTACCTGGCTTAAGCTCAAACTTGCTAAGTGTTGGACAAATGGTTCAACATAGATATTCATCGATTTTTAAAGATCATTTATGCATGATAAATGATTTAAATAATGCTGAAATAGCTTGTGTGCCAATGAGAAATAAGAGTTTTAGTATATATTGACAAAATGTGATTGCAAATGCTGCTGAAGTTAAACCTAATGAATCAGATTTATGGCATAAAAGATATGGTCATCATAATTTTAAGTCCTTATCTAATCTTCATACTCAAGGCTTAGTAAGTGACCTTCCTGCAATTCGAGAGCCATGAGGAGATTGTGAAGCCTGTAGTTATGGAAAGATGCATAGGGAAGCATTTCATACTAATGGAGTTTGGAGAGCAACTCAGAAACTGCAGCTGGTACACATTGGCCTCTGTGGTCTTATGAGAACATCATCATTGAGTGAA